AACAAAAAAAAATGGGCTTGGAACCTAGGACACTCTAAAAGTTTTAATGATCTTAAGAAGTTGATTAGTCTTCCACCTGCTTTGACATATTTTAACCCTGAATTACCTATAGGGATAGCCACTGACGCATCGAAATGTGGTTTAGGAGCTGTACTATTTCATATTGAAAAAGATGGTAAAGAAAAACCTATAGCTTTCACGTCGAGAACTTTATTAAAATCTGAAATGAACTATACCAATATTGAGCGTGAGGCTCTCGCCAGTATGTTCGCTATAAAGAGGTTCCAGGATTATTTAATCGGTACAAAATTTACAATTATTACTGACCATAAGCCTCTAGTTCACATCTTTACCAAGGGTCTTAAGGATAATAGCACCATGTCCTTAAGACTCCAGAAGTGGAATATTACATTGGGAGGATGATTTTAATATAAAGTATAAAGCCGGTAAATATAATGTTGTTCCTGATTGTCTCTCGAGATTACCACAAGAATGTCATGATGAAACTATTGAAAATATAACCATAATAAATGAATATGAGGATTTACCTATTAATTTTAATCAAATTTGAGATGAAACTTTGAAAGATATGGAATTAAAACAAGTCATAAATGATATTAATAATAACGGGCCTATTATGAATAATATTTATAAAAACATTGAATTGGAATTAAGTATAATTAAGGATTGTCTTTACAAAAGCAACAAAATCATAATTCCGTCTTCTATGAGAAAAAATATACTTCAGTCATTACATGAAGGTCACTTGGGAGCAGGAAAAATCAAATTCTTAGCCAAAGATTACATGTGGTGGCCTGGTATAAATAATGACATAGTAATGGAAGTGAAAAGTTGTGACGATTGTAACATATATCATGATAATCCTATAAAGATACAAAAACCATGGGTTTCGGCAACCAAACCGTTTGAAAGGATACACATAGATTATGCGGGTCCGTTTTCACAAAAAATTGGTTAATAGTCGATGCCTATAGCAAATTTCCAATTATTATTCCTGTTAAAAATATTACGACTGATGTGACTTTAAAAGAAATCTTTAAAACTATTTCGCTATATGGAATACCTGAAACTATAGTTACTGATAACGGCACTAACTTTACGAGTAACGACTTTGAAAAATTTTGCAACAATTTTGGTATTAAACATGTGCTTACATCTGCTTATCACCAGCAATCCAATGGCCAGGTAGAACGCATGGTTAGAACGTTCAAAACACATATGAAAAGGAATATTAAAATTGACCTAGATATCGCACTTGGCAAATTTTTATTTAATTACAGAAATACGCGTAATGATACTACAGGAGTTACACCATCTCAGAGAATGTTTAATCGAGATATTAGAATTAAATGGGACTTATTAAAACCGTTGGAGGAGAAGGAAAATAAAATAAACGTTACTTTACCACGAAATAGAACTTTTAACGTAGGAGATTTTGTTTGGTATAAAGTACAAGGTGATGATAAATGGTGCAAAGGTATAATCACACATAAAGAAAGTGATATGATGTTCCAAATTAAGACAGAGAAAGGTATTTTGAGGAGACATTTAGATCAAATAAGAATTAGAAACTGTTTTAACACAATTATTAACTATGACTCTAAGGATTATTTTAAGGAGGGATGTGTGGACAAAAATATAAAAATTACTGATATAACACCTATTTCTAGACCTGTGCGAATAAAAAAAAACCTGTTTATTTAAAAGACTACATAATTTAAAATATAAAATTGCATAAAGTAAATTAAATATTAAAACGCTTACATTAAAACGCAAAATATTAAAACGCTGAAAATATTATATAACAATCTTATTGATTTATCATTCTTCGTTTATTCTTATATCCAATATGATGAACTATTATTTCTTATTATTCGCAACTTATTGATGATAATAACAATTTTGAAAAATGATAATAATAACAACTGAATACTACCAAACAAGCTATGATTAATGGAGTACTACCAAACAAGCTATGATTAATGGAGTACTACCAAACAAGCTATGATTAATGGAGACAACTTACGATAAGGATATCAAGCTTGCGATTTATACAAACCAACGTGCAAAATCGATTTAAACAAACCAACGATTGGGACAAGCCAACGTTATGATGATTTGTGATACAACTTGATTACCAAAACGATAAACCACTTGGACAACAAACTCTCTATGACTTCTCCGATGAAATTATCAGAAGAGGGAGAATGTTGCGTTATTATATTCTAATTTTTTTACCTTATTATTATTTTTTGTAATCTAATTTTATAACTTTATTTTTTTATATTGCGTAACCATACTTTTTATATTTTGTAATATTTTACTTTTTGTTTTTCGTTTTTTTAATATCGTATTCGAATTTTGATTTGTAAAATATATATATAAACGAAGTGTAAAATGGAAAAGATAGACAAAGTTAATAATAATAAAATATATTTTTACTTGCTTGCACGTTTATCATGATTCTTTTCAGTAGATTTTATAAGAAGTGAGAGGACAAAAACCATTGTGTCTGGGTAAAAAATTTGTTTCAAATATTATAACTTACAAATCATATTTTTTTTATTCCATATTTTCCATAATATATTTGGCCTTTTTCTCTAAAAATTTATAGAAATCTTGGAAGGATGAATATGGATAATCTAATCCTCTAATTTGACTATTCTGATTAATCCATCGTCAAATGAAGATAAAATTTATTATTTATCCATACGGAGAAAATTCTGATTCCTCGTCATTCTTGACGGGCTCTCAGCTAGTATTATTATATTTATTTAAATATGTATTTTCATATTTAAAATATATTGTCATTGTTATATTTAAATAAATTTTATATTCAAGTTTATGGTGTGCATGAGATCTTTTTTTATGGGGACTAGGTGTGGAATAACTAGCTGAAGCTAATCATATCATATAAAACTTAGATTGTTTCAATATAAAAATCTAATACGGGAGACCGGGGTTATTTTAACCTGGACATATTAAAATAAAGATACAGAATTTTGTTAGTTAAAGATATCTTCATTTTATAAGGCAATATTAAATTTGTTAAGGTGAACAATTGAATATTTATAATTTTTATAAATTTAGAAGAATTAAATAAAATTTCAGAAAATCTAACTAGTATTTTGTACATAGACATGCCCAATTTTTTTAATATTTCAAATTATCTTTATAAAAACTTTTTGGAAGCCGATTCAATATCCCCGATATTAAATTGATATCTATAGATTACCGATACGATATCATATCTAATTTTGTCTTCTGTAAAAATACTAATGGTTTAAATTTTTAATATACTTTTTATTAGTATAACATCTATAATTCAACTGTACCATAACATATGTCATTTAAATATATTATAATGATCAGTTATAGTTTATATACAATTCAATTGCAATTCTAAAAGTATATAAAATATTTTTATAGATAAATCGCTTATTTATATAAAAATTAATAACATTAATCTTAATAAACAAATATATTATGCAATTTGAAATAAATATTTATTAAAATAATTTTAAAAGATTTTTTTAGAAAAATGATAAACAGCCTGCATCGATGGGGAATGCCATTTTAAAATAACGGTACATGCCTAAAAAAAGAAATAATTGTTTTGTTAAAAAAAATATCGTGGTTTGTTAAGTGATTATAATTAAGTCTATATTTTGTTTATTTGTAATTTAATGACCCCTATTTATAAATAAAAATGAATATCAAAACTCAAAAGATATCGTTGTTTAGCTGTCAACTACTGAGCCAACTCATCTAATCGGTTTAAGTCTTAACCAATTTTTATAATTTTAGAGATGCCAAAAATTATTAAAAAAGATATAATACCCTCATTTGATGATATATGAATTATAAATATCTAAAAATCGATATATTCCTATAATAAATTTTTCCCGTTCTTAGAAGATAATTGTTTCCAATTCGATATCAATAATTAATAAGGAATTGAATTACTCGGTCTCTAATTTTTAATTTATAGATTATAAGAAGAGAACAATTTTTTAATAAAGGTAAATAATATTAAATAAATATGATTATTTTTCATGTTAATATTGAAATATTCGTCCTATATATATAAAAATATGATTGCGCAAAATATTTAAAATTAATAGGTTTGTTTGGAGTAAGTGATCCGGTCCATGCTCGTGTCGATGAAAGGAACAATTTTTGAAAAAGGAATCTAATATTAAATATAAATATTTCTATGCTAATATTGAAATATTCGTCCTCTATGCAAAATACAATTAGCAAAATATCCACATTCAGTCACAATAAAATAAAATAAGTTGGTGCTCGGGTCTATGATCTGGTCGGTACTCTCAAAAAATTTTAAAATTAAATTTTTTGACAATTGTCACTTATCCAGGGTATATATTGACTGAAGTTTTATTTAAATATGTTTGCAATATTAATTATTTCCAATTTGCGACAAAAAAATTCAAAAAATTTTAAAATTAACGATTATGACAATTGTCACTTATCCAGGGTTATATTAACTGAAGTATTATTTAACTATGTTTTCAATATTAATTATTTCCAATATGCGACAAAAAAATTCAATAAACTTTAAAATTAACGATTATGACAATTGTCACTTATCCAGGGTTATATTAACTGATGTTTTATTTAAATATGTTTTCAATATTAATTATTTCCAATATGCGACAAAAAAATTCAATAAACTTTAAAATTAATGATTATGACAATTGTCACTTATCTAGGGCACATCTTCCCTGAAATCTTATTTAAACATGCTTAATTTTCAGAAAAACTAATATTTATTCACCTAAAAGATTGTTTATTTATATTAAAATTCACAAAAGAATTTCTCAAAAAAGATTTATTTACAAAATTTAAAATTCCTATCAAATGTATGATTATATTTTGCTTAAAATTTTGGGTGTGAAAATCACAAATTTATTGTTAAAAAGATATTACAATTTAGCAGCATATCATTTTTTTTTATTAAAAACATCAAACCATTTTCATAATATAATATAAATTTCATTTCATTTCATAATATATTAATAATATTATATAAATAAAAATATTAAATAATATCATGTTTTTTTGTTGATAAATATGGATGTGATAATAATAAAATATTCAAATTTATATAAAATAAATCGGGTCGATGGACTTGGTCGATCAGGTCGACCAATTAGGTTGCTTTGGTTTTGGTTCATTTTTTTGATCAAAAACCCAAATTCGACCCAACCAAACAATTTTACCACACTACTAGTGACAATGCACGTCAAACTATTTGCTAAGCAAGAGCCAAATTTTGTCAAAAGATTTACTTATTTTTTAATAAATATTAACGGAATCACGTGGTAGAGTCCAAACTACTATATATATTTTCCCCAAATACACAACCACCAAATTGGCCTTAAAACATGGCCCTTGCTGAATTCGAACCCAGGAATCGAGTTCAATATCAACGCACTCACTTACAAGGCTACAGACGATATATGAAAACATATTTTTTTAATATATAATATTAAGTAGTTTAAATCTTTAATTTACAAAAAAATCATAAAAACATAATACATGAGGTGCAGGGTCATTAGACAGATTTAATAGGTCAATTAATAAATTAGTCTTTCTTTAGGTTCGAGTTTTTTTTATGTTAACAAAAATTTTTTAAATGTAAAATGGGTCTTTATCCAATCGACAATTTTTTTAAAAATATTTGCCCTCTCCATGATATTGTTGAATTGAAGGAAAAAAGGTATATAGTATATATTGTATACAAAATATAGATGCAATGTATATTTCGACATTTGAAATGAATATTAGATAAATAAAATTAAGTAGAGTATTCACAAAAAATTATAATAAAATAAATGTTCTTAATATTTATATCTCATAGCTTTCCAGGGATAATTCTGGGAAATTGCCAATTTCAATATTTTCAGATCTTACGAAGGCTCCATATTTATTATCGCATTCAAAATATCTTTTATCATCGATACTAAAAAAATAGAAATATAAAAGTATAATATAGTATTTATATAAATATGACAATGATAGTTTGGTTTAATTTTGAGCCCTGGATCGGAAGAATTATAAACTAAAAGGGAAATAAAAAATTTTGGTGCTTCTTTTTGCAAAGAATATTTAGAGGTAAAATACTCCCGACCTAAATTAAAAATACAAAAAATAAAGGTTCGATTCGTCCGAGGGGCTCAAAATTCAATCAATATTATTTCATAAAATTTTTTTTATAAATTCTCAATATATTTAATTTTAAGGAAAATAAAACTAAATTCGCCGATTTCCTTTTCAGTAAATTTACAAATATTTAAAGATATTAGATAACCCTTTCTCCGATTTTAACAAAGCTTACGATCTATTGAACATGATATATGTTGCGAAACCTAATGAGGGGCAGGTGACTACTTTAAAATAACAAGAGAAAAAGAATATTTTTTAAATTCTTTGCTGGGGAGGTAAGATTGATCTAGAGAAAATAATGGTGGACAAAAATCTCAAAATTATTATTAGACTAAAAATGCATACCTGCCATCATTTTTCCCTAAAGGCTTGTCGTATTTAACACCGATCCATATGCCAGGTTTGAAATGAGTTTCTCCTATATATTATATAAAATAATGATATTAAAATAATAAAATAGAATAGAAAGCTTCCACCGAATTCTAGCTTGTAAACAGATTGAACGAGGTAAAAAAAAGTGAAGCTGTCTTATAAGACGAGCACTTTAGCTCAGAGATGTGTAAGGATATCGTATGGCTATGGCCTTCAATCACAATAAAGATTTATGTTGAAACATTTATATGATAAATATTAATATTAGAGAGTCTTCCATATAGAATGGGAATGGTAATTAACTAATAAATTTAAGAAAATGTTAGAATTGTATTTTTAAAAATATTGACCAGAGTAAATTTATAATTTTTTAAGAAATTTTCATTTAAAAAATTTTTAAAATTATAAATATATACTACTATATTATAAAATTTATTAAAACAAAATTTAAATATCTTATATTTTGATTGAGACATATGAAAAATAAAAAGTAAAGATTTTCTCTGGTGGAGTTATTTTATTATTATTTTTCACCAGCTGACTCATTTCATAAATTATTTTTTCATTTATAATGATTTTTGCAAATTCTGAAACTAAATATATAATTATTTAAGATGTAATATCATTTTATTTGAGGTGATTATGACAATATAATTTATATTATATATGATAGTGATCATGATACACAATCTGAATTAGATAAAAAAGAAATGTTAGTTGAAGACAATAAACTTAATATTATTTAGGTAAATATAAAATTTATAGTATATTTCTCTTTAAAATTAGCTAAAAAAATAAGTTTACCAAATGGAAAAAGGATCTTCCTAATCAAAGAATAAGTACTCATCAACAAAATTTAGTTATTCATCTGCCAGGAGTAAAAGAATAAGGGAAATAAGCTGACACTCCAGAAAAATGTTTTGACTTGTTCATAACACAAAAATGATTGAAGAGATTATTTATCATACCAATGAAAAAATTAAAATTATTTATAAAAACTATACTGACCAATATTAAAGTTCTACTAAAGAATTTGTTGTAACACAATTCAAGACATTATTGGGAAATCTTTATTTAGCTAGAATTTTTAAATCTAACCATCAAAATAAAAAAAACAAAATATTTTTTTTCAAATATGTAAAATAAATTTATATGTAATAAATGTTTTGCATGACAAATTTAATATATTTCAATGTTCTATATATATTTTTAAAATTTATATGTAATAAATGTTTTGCATGACAAATTTAATATATTTCAATGTTCTATATATATTTTTATGTTTGAATGAATTAGTAATTTTTTTTTATATTGAAGAATAAATATCCATATTATGAATTATCATGATAGATAAGTTAATTTTTAAATTTAATATTTGAAATCTAAAAAAAGTAAGTTTTTTAGAAAATTTTGGCACAAATTACAATTATCCTCATCATCTTTAATCTAAGCTTAAAAAATAATAAACAAATATTTTATCAAGTTTAAGGTTTAATTCTATCTTATATCCAAATATTAAATAAAAATTAATAATATAACTGGAGATATATACATTTGAAATTGGGGTGTATTAAACCCCACCCGAATACTAACGTCATTTTTTTCACCAGAGTATTGAAGGGTTAACAAAAACAATTCATAAAAATTAATATTGTTAATGATTTAATCGCGTTTTTGACAATTTTACATATATATATTTATTTATCCTTTTTTCGACTTTATTATTCAGATTTTATCAACAATCGCATCACCCCTTCCCTTAGATACCTCTATCTAGGGGACCTGGCGCGTTTCTCCTTCATTTAATACTTCGGGTGACTCCTCTTGTAATAACATTCGTTCCCCACTGATAGTTATCCCTTGACTTGTATAATATCTCATAAGATCGTCTTCTCCACATGATAAACACTGTCTGGGTCGAGGCCGATCATATGGATGACTTCTCGTCCTTCGCTCTACTCTTTTCTAGGTATTTCCTATCATCTCGTTTATCATTTCTCCATACAATCTCGTCGCATCTCAGCCAGTTCCGTGATATCATCGAACCATCTATCGTCCTTATTTCATTTCGCACGATATAATTACCCACTCTTGTATATGTGGCCATTAAAAATGAAATTACAATGCATATCATTTTATCCCTTCCTTCTTTTCTCCCTCCTAACTATTTATAATCAAAATTTCATCTCCTTTTGCTTTCATCCCAAAATTTCATTTTACATACTTTCTATCCTCGGTCGCATTTGCATGTCTAGGTCATGTACCTAACTGTCCTTTACTTTCTATTTCCACTTTCTTTTTTTCTATACTCTTTCTTACTACACCCTTCCCCCATTTAATAGGCCCATCAAAAACAATACCCACATAAGACTTCCTACTAGAAATTTCTCAATATCTATTTGTTCTCTCATTATTACTTTTTCTTTTAGAAAATCTAATTCCGATCTTGTTTTTCTTCCTAAAAATATTTCAGCTGTAGATATTCCTTTCGCCGTCTCCGTATTGTTGTATGCTAACAACTATAACCACCATTTTTCTTCTCCATAATTTTCCTTTTTTAACCAACTTTTCACTATCGCTACCATACGCTCAGCGTGTCCATTGCTCCTTGGGTAATAGTAGTGAAAATACATGTTTAATCTTCCACTTATCACGAAATTTATCAAATGCTTTAACTTTAAAAGCGGAACCTCCATCTGGTACTAAAGTCTTCATTAATCCATATTTGCCCACAAAATTCTTTATTTTATCTAAAGCTACTCTTGTTGATAAACCTGCAACATAATGACAAACTATCCACTTTGAACCCATATCTACCATGATAAAATATCTTTTCTTCTCATATTCTAAAAAAATCTACGTGTACTCTTTCACATGGAATGTCTGTAACTGGCCATTTATCTTCCTTTTTCTTGGTACATTAGCCAACATGTTACATGCATTACAACTTTTAGTCACTTCTTCTATCTCGTTATTCATCTTAGGCCACCAAACATATTCTCATGCCTATTTTTCATTCTTTCTATGCCTTGATGTCTGTCCGGCACGCAGCTAAAATATCTTTTCTTAATACCATCGGAAACTAAACGATATCCTCTCATTAGACAATTGTCTATAACGTAGGAATATGTTTAATTTCGCGGATAATTGTAAGTTTTGTATTAGGATTAATTATAGGAAGATTCACATCGTATATAAGGATTGAGAATAGAGAAGTAGAAAAGATTAAAAATATGATAAGAAACAAAGATAAGACGAGACAAATAAATCATTATAGACCAAATGTTTATTAATCTTGTGGTCAACAAGGACACATATCACGGCAGTGGGAGTTAACAAGGCAGCTGAAGTGCGCAAATGTGGGCGCAATGGCCATGTAGATGTGAATTGTAGAGGGTTTTTTAAAGGTCATTCACAAGAGAGATGTAATAAATGACTAGATGTGATTAAAGATAATGTTATAAAAAAGATATTTAATAGTTCGTCTGATTTTTTTGATTATAATTTAGGTATAAATGAAACAGTATAATTGATTTAAAATATGTAAATAAAGATGAGAATTATGAAAAGATCAGTGGAAGAGAAATTGAAAAAGAAGCGTGTAGAATTGAATTAGAAAAGATGATAAAGAGAAGTAAATGCCCGAGGATTAAGTTATGAATTGGTGAAAGGGAAACATGCTTTTTATAAGATACAGGAGCCGAGAATAGTTTTAAGATTTTAATAGTCTTCCAAAAGAAAGATTCACAGCAAGAAGAATAATTGCTCGACAATTAGACGGTAGTATGGTTAAAATTTAGATTTATAAGTAATTGAATTGTTAGATCTAAATAAGGAGATAACGATATGGATTACGACATTATAAATAGAGCCTATCTTAGGTTGGAATGAAATTAAGAATATAGATCCTGATTATAATTGGTGGTCTTTATTTGTAAATATCCGTGAAAACAATAGTGTAACGAGAGATATAATAGAAGAGAGTATAATGATAAGGCTGAGTTACCTAGTTTAGGAGTTAAACAGGATGTAGTTCTCGATAAATTGAACACCCGAATTTATTAGATATAGAAGTAACATAGAAGAGAATAAGGAATCAAGAAATATAAGGACAATAGAGGTAGATTCAGTCGAAGTCAAACAACAAGGAATTAAGAATATGGTAGAACTTGATGTTGTTGAGGATAATTTCAGCAAGGAAATAAAGAAGATATTGAATAGGTACAAGGAGGTCTTTAAAGAGGAACTAGGTACGCTAAAACATTTTGAAGTAGATATATGATTAGAGGAAAATTACCGGCCTAAATTTTGTGGCATAAGATTCCCGTTTTCATAGAGGAGATAAATAAAGAACTAGACAAATGGCTGAAAGGGTATAATAAGATCAATCACCTTTAGTCCCCATAAGAAAATCAGACAATAGCTTGAGATTGTGCATAGATTATAGAATATCGTTGAATCCATGAGTTATTTCAATAAATTACCCTTTACCAAGAATAGTTCAGTTATTGGCTAATCTAAAAGGCGCAACAATTTTTTCGAAAATAGATTTTTCCAATGTCTACTTACAAATTAAGGTAAGTAAAGAAGCAAGTAAAATATTAACGATTTCGACGCATAGAGGTTTGTCTGCATTCTGCCGATTTTGGGTTGAAAGTATCCTGCTATGTTAAAAGGATTAAGTGCTATCATGTATTATTTAGATTATGTTTTGTAATCAGGTAAAACAAAAGAGAATAATACAAGATTAATCAAAGTATTTAGATATAATTTTAGAAAATGGACTGAGAGCTAATATGAAAAAAAGTGTTTTTGGAGTAAAGGAAGTAACATACTTAGGACAATGTAATAAAGGGAGATAAAATTTATACCATTTCAAAAATATAGATAAGATTATGAGCATGAAAGCACCGAGTAATAAGGCGGAATTACAAGTTTTTAGGAGCTACAAATTATTATCATCGGTTTATACCAAATTTTGGGGAGATAGCGTCACCGTTGTACAAGTTGTTAAAGAAAAATATAAGATTTGAATGGGAAAAAGAA